ACCACTTATTGTTCAATATCTAAACTAGGCTCCTGCCCTCTTGAAGGCTGCATTTCCTTTGGGAGACAGGTCATAAATAAGTGAACATGATGATTTCAGATAATGGTAAGTGTTATTAAGAAAGTAAAGCAAAGTATGGAGGAAGGTGCCATTAAACAAGATAAGGAAGGCTGGTGAGTTAGCAGATGTTTCCCTGAGCTAGAGCTAATAGGAATTCCTAAACAGAAATTTGGTAATAACTCATGCCTTAATCCATTTCCACATATATGTTAACACAGGTGTAACAGTACTGTCCAATAGAACTTTCTGCAATGATGGAAATGTTCTGTGTTGGCACTGTCCAGTGTGGTAGCACTAGCCACATGTGACCGTTGGGCACTTGATATGTAGCTAGTACAATTAAGAACTGAATTTTTTATCCTATTTTTAATTAAATAATCACATTTGGCCTAGTGGTTACTGTATGGGACAGCTCAGGTCTAACATGTAGAAGATGCTAAACATTGACCCATTCCATACCTATCTACTTATATTTGATATACTAGAACTTAAGTTTAATTCCAAATAGCAGTCATGTTGCAGCTAGGTATAATTGAAAATGTGTGCGTATGGAATCAGACAAATTTGGATTGGAATACCAGCTCTACTAGTTTTGTTTTCCTTGGACCCAGTTGTTTAATCAGTCTTTTCCTCATAACACTTTTGAGAGAGATTAATGTGTGCAGAACACTTAACATCCTTCCCTTTTGAAAATTTTGATTTTAAAAAGGAGAGAACATAAAAGTGTATTCTGTGAGTCTAGCTATAAAAATTACATACTAAGACTAGAAGTGGGGGCACAGGAATAAGAAAATAGTTTTTAGGATGGAGTTGTACATGGTTATTTTTCTAATTTTCTCACATGTTATGTTTTGAAAAATAAAGATTAAATTTAAAATGAAATGGTCTTTATCAATTTTATCTTTATAGGGAGTGTTTATAGTGATATTTTTATATTAGTAAAAACTTCAGCTACCATATTAGTCAATTTTTAGTGTGACTGACTACAGCTAATTTCTTTGTTCACCTTTTAATCAACATTTGCTTTCTGATTATTTTTCTTCTGTGTATTCATTTCACTTCTGGATTTTTTTTTTAATCCTCACCTGAGGATATTTTTTCCATTGCTTTTCAGAGAGAGTGGAAGGGAGGGGGATGGAGAGAGAGAAACACCCACTAGTTGCCTCCCGCAGGCACCCCGACAGGTAGTGGGGAACAAACTTGTAACCCAGGTATGTGCCCTTGACTCGGAATGGAATCCGAGACCCTTAGGTGTGTGGGCTGACACTCTAACCACTGAACCACACCGGCCAGAGCACTTCTGGGTGTTTTTATATTTTTTTTCACTAACTTTTTTCTTTGTAAATTATTTTCTTCATTCTATAAGAATTTTGAGGCTACATTACTTCATAATATTCTCCATAGTGATAAGTGTGCTATTTTGATTTTTTTAAAATTCTTTTTAAAGATCTATGCAATTAATTTCTATTTAAGGCTAAACCACATTTAAAAGGTTTGCTTTACATTTGCATTTAAATGTTCAGTTTAGAATTTGGGAAATTCTCATCTCATAAACCTATCCTAACTTTCTTTACCTCTGAATGCTTGCTTGGCACAGTAAGTGTCTGAATGGCAGCTCTCCCTATTTCTTCACCTGCCAGTTCCACCGTTGTGAGTGGATTCCATCATTGTGTTCCTTAATTGGTTTTCTGCTTGAAATGCTCTAGATAATTCAGAGTTTTATTTCAGACTTTGAGAGTCACATAAGCAATGTTTTACTCTACCATTTTACTGTGGACAGTAAAACTGGAACTTCTTGCATCAAGGAGTTGTACAAGCTGAATACATTTAAAAAAGTGTCTAGTTAAATTTTTGGGTATCACCATTGAACTAATACTAAGACTCTATCTCTAATCATGAAGTCCCTTGAATTGTGTTCTTGGACTTTTAGCCACTTATTGAACATTTTTACTTAGATACTCCTTTTCACGTCTTGGTAATATCTTTGTACTTTATATAAAGCCCTGATTGATACATGATATCAGAATTCTCCCAGTCATCTGGGCTTAAATTTTTTTTTTTTTTTTTTAAATATCTTTATTGATTTCAGAGAGAGGAAGGGAGAGGGAGTGAGAGAGAGAGAAACATCAATGATGAGAGCGTCATTGATCAGCTGCAGCCCGCAACCCGGGCATGTGCCCTGACCGGGAATCGAACCCTGATCTCCTGGATCCTAGGTCGATGCTCAACCACTGAGCCACGCCCAGCCGGGCTGGGCTTAAATTTTATAGTTGTCTTTGATACCTCCCATAACTGTGTAGACAGTCATCAAAACCTAGTGATTCATTCTGTATAGCTTCAGCTCAATCCTACTTGTCACCACCTTTGTTCAGCACTTAAAACTTTAAACCTGGATTATTGTGTTCTGCTGCCACCGGATGAATATTTTTTAATCAATACAGTACTGCATATCATTCTCTGTGAGTCCCTATTGCCTACAGGAAAAGTTTAAATGACTTATGTGATATGTTGTTTTCCATAATAGCACACTATCTGAGAGTATTTTTGGAAACCTCTGAAAACATACAATTTGCAAAGAATTAGTGGCTTCTTAATCACTTTTCTCAGCTTTATTTTCCATACTTCCTTACAAGAGACTTCCACTTTAAGACAGGTAAATGTGCTGTTCCTTAACCAGATACTGATTATTTTTTATCTCTGGTTGGCTTAGCTTAATATTTATTAAGCATTTATTCTTTGGTAGGTGTGTATTTAGGGAATATATAAGTAAGCCATATTTTTTGCTCATTTTCAGTTCTGTTTATTTTTCAAAACTGAGTTTAAATTTATCCCTTCCATAATGCTTTCCCTTGATCACCCAGACTTAAAGTAACTTTTTTCAAAAAGTTATCTTTACTGTTGAAAATATTACAGATGTCCCCCCACCATTGATCCCCTCTACCCTGCATCCACCCCACCCTTTTGAACTGAGAACTCACATATCCCCACCCCACTATATGTGCAAAATAACATATATACAAAACACATGGACAGATTAATGAATTATTTTAATTTTTCCAGTTTTATAGAGATATAATTGACATAGAGCGCTGTATAAGTTTAAGGTACACCACATGATGACTCAACATACATATATTGTGAGGTGATTACCACAGTAAATTTAGTTAACCTTCATCTCATACAGTTACAAAAAAGAGTAATTTAAAACAATATCTGTGTAACCACAAACAAAACTCAAGAAATGGAGCATTACCAGTACCTAGAAGTCTAACAACATGCCCCTCAATAAAACTTCCTCCTTCCTCCTTCCTTCCCTTGCTTTCGTGATAATCATATCCTTGCTTCTCCTTACAATTTGCCATCTCTGTGTGCGTCCCTAAACTATCACATTTCCTGTTTCTCAAGTTTAAGTGAATGGAATTCCATAACCTTGTGACTTGTTTCTTTCGGCACTTTTGGTGTTAAATGTAGCTAAAGCTACAAGGAACATTCTGGTATATGTATCCTGTGTACATATGCACAAGTTTTTCTAGGTTATATTCATAGTTAAATCACTGGATCATAGGGTATGCATAACTTCAGCTTTCCTAAGTAAAGCCAGTTTTCCAAAAGAATGGCCCAATTTAGACTCCCATCAACAGCATATGATACATCATTTTTCCTAATACTTAGAATGGTCAGACTTAAAATTTTGTTGTTTTGGTAGGTGTGTAATGGTATTTATTTCAGTTATTTCATTTCCTCTTTATATTTTGTAGTTCTTTTGTTACGTATCTGCTATCATTTCTCTATTTTTCTGTGGGACACTTTTATTTAAAATGTACCTATACAATCTTTTTACTTATTAAGTACATTAACCTTTTATCAGCATCAGCCTGACCTTAATGCTGTAGCCGATTGGTCTAAAACCAGTTCAAGACAAGAGGAAATTTTGGTGCTCACACCAGTCCCACATTATATAAAAATAAATTTATTAACAAGCAAAGCTTTTACACAGCATTAATTTGGTAGCAAAAGGTGTAAGTCAGTAAACACATATTTTTTGTGAGTGCCTGCTAATTCCTCCACTCACGGTCTTATGTTTTAGAGTCAGTATTAAGAGCTTGCATTTAGTCAACCTTGTTTTATGCCATAGCAACACTGAACAATCATTGACAGGAATTAGCTAAAAAGTATTGAGGCAGCCAGTAGTCAATAAGCATGTAATCTTTGGAGTCAAACAGACTTTGGTGTCAGTTGTGATTCCAGAAATATGTGACCTTGTGCACATCATCTAAGCTATCAGAAATTCAATTGTGTCATCTGCAAAATGGAAATAATAGCCTATAATGTTATGATGATTCAGTGAGGCATTTAATACATGTAAACAGCATAGCACATCACCTGGCAGGTGCCCATCGTCAACAATGATGCAATCTAAAACCACCTATCACCCAGTATTTTTGCTAATGTAAGGTTTCAGGTCTGAGGACTGTGGTGAGGAAGGAAACTGGAATGGTTCCCCTGTGTGCCTCAATCCAATATGAAGATGGTATATAATTCATCTTCCATGTTAGGACTTTTAGGTCGTGGAATAGGGGAAGGCATACATAGCAGGAAAAAGGTAAAAGACTGTCCAAAGCTTTGAGAGTCCTCTTAAGTGCAGGAGCAAAATGAAAGGAAACCCAGTACTGCCACTGTCTTTCTTCCATTACACATCTGGTGGAGATTTTTGTTTTCTTCCTTTTGTAATTATGACAGTATTGTTTTTCTAACTCTGTTTATATCCCTTATTGCCTCTCTCCATTTTCATTTGGTTGTTGTTCCCCCAGAAATATTAAAATGAAGATATTTTCTTTTATTATGATTGGCAAATGTTGAATGTGAGAGCAATAAAATTAAATATCTGCATTCAAAGCAATATGATTACTGATGTATTGTTTTGTACTGTTTCATTACAGCTTGTAGATTTTCAGTGGAAACTGGGTATGGCTGTGAGCTCAGACAGTTGCAGATCACTTAAGTATCCTTTTGTTGCGGTGATGCTAAAGGTGGCAGATCATTCAGGCCAAGTAAAGACTAAGTCTTTTGAAATGACAATTCCACAGTTTCAGGTGTGTGATTTTAACTCATTCAGTTTTAGCTCATTGTTCTGTAATTGCTGCTTAAAATGATGTATAAAGTCTTTCTTAAGGGGGAACATTAATTGTATTTACAGTTGTTATGATGTGCTTTATTTTTATTAGTACAAAAGATCTGGATCTGTTTTCTTTGGGAATTTGATAAATTATTTTCAATATAATATGCTGAATTTGCATACTGTGACATTTGATCACTTTCACAGTATTTTTCTGTAGTATATTTAGGAAGTTTTCATCTTCTCAGGCAGGATAGTTACTTTGCTTTTAATTGTTTTATTCTTATTCATTTTAGGCTTAATATTTGAGAATGATAAGCTAAATGAATCTTATTTTGAGTAGTGTTAACCTTGAATCTTCTGACTAATAGTGTTTATAAAACGCATATCAGAACACCAGTACTTAATGACTAGTTCTGTTAGCGAGAGGTTTGAGTAACTGAATAGTATAAGAATCGTGTTACTCCTATTATCATTTTACTTCTTTTCCATAAGGAAGGAAGAAAAAAAGGGGTAGGTGAGAAATTAGATTTTCTTTTAAATGTACATTCAGGGAAATGTTTTGTCATTGACTCATTTAACTGGCCTTACGGTTTTAATTTTGTTTGTTTTGGTTTCTTTGTGAGTGAATTGATAAATTCACAGCAGTTAGTACTCTTCAGAAAAATCTCTCATATACCACTTTTCCCTCTCAGCTAGGTATAATTGACAAATAAAAATTGTATATATCTAAGGTATGCAAGGTGATGTTTTGGTATACATATACATTGTGAAATGATTACCACAATCAAGCTAATTAAAATATCCGTCACCTCACATAGTTACCTTTTTTGTGTCTGTGTGATGAGAACACTTAAGATCTGTTCTCCTAGCAAATTTCAAGCATATGACACATTGTTATTAACTATAGTCACCGTGCTGTACGTTATGTCTCCAGAATTTACTCATTTTATAACTGAAAGTGTGTACCTTTGACAAACGTCTCATTTTCTCTACTCCCCAGCCCTGGCAACCAGTCTACTTTCTGTTACTATGAGTTCTACTTTTTTAGATTGCACATATAAGGGAAAGCATGCAGTGTGTCTTTCTGTGTCTGGCTTGTTTCACTTAGCATGTCCTCCAGGTTCATTCATATTGTCAAAAGAGCAGGATTTCCTTCTTTCTAAGGATGAGTAGTACTCTGTTCTCTAACTTTGTATACGTATGTGTGTGTATATATATATTTATAGATTTTATATTATATATATTTTTACATATATATTTTTATATCACATCTTCTTTATCCATTCATTTGTCAGCAAACATTTAGGTTGTTTCCATACCTTGGTTATTGTGAGTAATGCTGCAATGAACATAGGAGTGCAGATATCTCTTTGAGATAGTGATTTTATTTCCTTTGGAGCAGAAGTGGGATTGCTGGGTCATATGGTAGTTCTGTTTTACAAATTACATTTTAAGGTTTTTTTTTCTCCCCTTTGATTTCTTTCTTTTAAAACTGATATCTCTGCTTTAGACTCAACATTAATAATGCTAATTAGTATCTTGAAAGGAATTGGGACCTCATTAAGAAGAAAATAAATGTAGTATATTGTGATATGTGAGTAGACTTAAACTGAATATAAGGACCCAAGCAATTTCAAAAGAGAATATAGGTTTCAATTCTTTCTATAATTCAGAATCCTGGCCTAATTCTTATTTATTTATTTATTTATTTATTTATTTATTTATTTATTTAAATATATCTTTATTGATTTCAGAGAGAGGAAGAGAGAGAGAGAAACATCAATGATGAGAGAGTCATCATTGATTGGCTGCCTCCTGCATGCCCCTGACCGGGAATCCAGCCTGCAACCCAGGGATTTTCCCCCAACCCTGGGAATCAAACTAAGATCTACTGGATCCTAGGTCAGTGCTCAACCACTGAGCCATGCCCAGCCAGCCCTAATTCTTATTTTTCTGTGCAGCCTTTATGCTCTCTGACTCCACCTACAGAATGTTTTTTCTCATAGGAAAAACACACAAATGGGGCAACTCTTCTAAAGTTAGATTTTACATGGCTAAGCATGCAACCAAGCAAACAGAGCCTACTAGTCATATTATATACAGGACTGAGACCTGGGAACATTCTTTGAGCTTTTATTTTTAGAAAGAGAACAAGGGAGAGGGAGAGACAGAGAGAAACATTGATATGAGAGGGAAACATCGATGGGCTGCCTCCTGCATGCACCCTACCAGGGACTGAGCTGGCAACCCAAGCATGTAGGACAGTGGTGGATAGTTAATAAATCTTTCTGGTGTGATCTCAAAAGACCTTTCTTGTATGCATTTTGAAAAGTTTAGTCATGTCCTAATTATCCAACTGCAATATTTTTGCTTATAGTATGAAATTATGCCTCTTTTTTTCTTAGAGTAACCTTTAATAATAGTTGAGAATATCACATTAAAATGTAATCTTAATGCTATATGGTCTCTGGTGGACAGATATTATTATCCCTAAAAGCAAAATTAATATTATTTTTCTCTTTTCTCTCCAGAATTTCTACAGACAGTTCAAGGAAATTGCTGCAATTATTGAAACTGTGTGAAAACTGATTATTTTGTTGGTAAATTGCTACCATCATTCTAAAATCATGGACTTCACTTTCTGCAATATAACTATATGAGGATCAGGTGATTTTTATTAAAAGAAAATTGCACTTTTGTTTTTCCATTTTTTTTAAATAATAAAAAAATTAAACAGGAATTATATAAGAGGTGATCAATGCACTTATCCATGTGAATGTACCAAAAGCCACTGAATTTGTTTTCAGTGGAAGTGGAGTTCTTGGGGTGCCATGGGGAAAAGAATTTTCTGAGGTCCTCACAGTTAGCATGGAGTATCATTGAAAACTTTACTGATGATATAAAATTAAGGGGGTTCCCCTCCAAGGTCCCATCTCTGACTGCCCACCATGGAAAAAGTCCAGTCTTGTCTTGAGCAGGGCCAGGATTAAGGCCACTGCCCAGAGTTTCCAGTCCATATTAAAACACAGTCCAGTCCAGCATCTGGCTATTCCCAGCTGTACTCCATTGCGTGCGGGCCATGCGGCTGCTTAAGGCCATGTGGCTATGGACAGGGAACAGGCACGCATGGGTCACAGAGCAGGAGAGCCAGAGGGAATAAGGAGCACAAAGAGAGGGAACTCCTTGTCTGGGGATCTTACCTTCTAAGATTTCAAAGGCTTGCAGTGGCTCCACCCTCCTAGCCAGTTTTAGTTTTCTCAGGCTAGACTGACAGCACCTCCCCTTGGTCACCCCAACCTCACCGTGCATGCTCCCATGCCCCTCTTTGTTCCATCCCTACTCCCAGTGATCCGCAGGGCATGGACTGGTGGTTCCGTGGGTAGTGGGAACTAGCTTCCTGGTAAAGCTGCCCAGATGACCATGCTTATAATGTCGGGCTTTCCCTTTGCTCTCTTCCTGTTATTAATATTAACTGGATAGTTATGACGGTAACAAGTTGAACACTTTAAAGGGGGAACTCAGTGGTATGTGAATTACGTATCAATAAAAAAATCAGACTACTAAATGATTGAAAACATTGAAAAGGATGACCTTACTTTATAAATTCAACGTTATAACGTTCAAGTACTGTAAAAGCAGTCATTGAGCAGAGTGAGGTGGCTCTTCTCAAACGTTCGAAATCAGGTTAGGATTAACCATTGTTTCCCTATGTTGGCCAAGCATTCTTCATATTTGTAGAAATATCAGGTACATGCACAGAAGTAGAAAGATAAGTTTTATTCTGAGTTCTATATGCAACTGAGTTAACCTGTTAGTAATGTTAATGTTACACATGATCTTTGTTGAATTTAAATATATTAAAATAAAGTTGCTTAGTAATTCTGAAGATTGATTCTGACTTAACTACATTGCTCTGAATATATTGTGTTTTAGTAAATAAATAAATTTATAAACCAATTGTTAAAATGTTTTATGAGGCTGCAGCAATCAACACATACAGCATTGCTTAGGAATGAGCAAATTGATCCCTGGAATAGACTAGGTGGCTAGGAATAGAGCAAGACGTTTGGGCAAGGATGGTATTTCAGTTCGGTGGGAAAACGTAATTATTTAATAAATGACACTAGCATTCACAATATTTGCAAAAATAAATTCCAGATGGATTAATGACTTAAATAGAAGTTTTAGAGAATATTCTTGTTAACTAAGGCTTGGGAAGACAGCAACCCCCCCCAACTATAATATAAAACAAATGTATTTGAAAATAAAAATTAAAAAATTATTTGTAGAAAAATAATAGGCCATAAACAAAGACAAAATACAAATGCTAGGTTGATCTATAGCTTTTCGTTTCTAAGAGGAATAGATTGTGACTGAGCTTAACAAGCACAACACAATTATTTTAATATATTCTGCTACCAAGACAGGTTAACATAAGAATCAGATTTGTGTGGAAAAAAGGCAAGGTAGTCACATTTATTTAAAGGGATTGAAACTTCCAATGTACTGCTGGCTTGTTTTTAAAAGTGCTTAAGCAGAATTATCTTTTATAATAATTTGTAAAAATTATTTTGTAATTTAGACTTTAAAAAATGAACTTTAATTTTTTAGAAGTTTTAGATTTGTAGGAAAAAAATGAGAAGATTGTACAGAGTTCCTTCATATCCCACACTCAGTTTCCGCTAATTAACATCTTACATTAGTATGATACATTAGTTATCACTGATGAGCCAATGGTGATACATTAGATTTCTTTAGTTATTACCTAATATATTTTTCTGTTTCAGGATCCCATCCAGAACATCATTACATTTAGTAGTCATGTGACAGTTTCTAAGGGTTTTCTTGTTTTTGTTGACCTGACAGTTTTGGGGAGTACTGGTCAGGTATATGTAGGACCTGCCTCAAATGGGGATTTGATGTTTTTCTGGACTGGAGTGATGAATATTTGGGAGGAAGTCACAGAGATAAGGTGCCATTTTCTTCATATTATGTCAAGGGTATATACTAGCAATATGATTTATGACTTGATGTTGACCTGGATAACCTTGCTGAAGTGGTGTTTGTTAGGTTTCTCCACTATAAAGTTCCCCTTTTTTTCCCTTCTTTCCATACTTTGCTCATTGGAAGGAAGTCACTATCTGTAGCCGATACTTAAGGAGTATGCAGTTATGTGCCCCTTCTTTTATGATGAAGTAGCTATATATTTTATTTGGAATTCTTATGTGAGGGATTTGTCTCTTTTCCACAATTATTAGTTATTTATATCAGTATGAACTCATGGGTATTTATTTTACACTTGGGATCATAACTGAGTACTCTTGTTGCTCAAATCATTCCAACTTTGGCCATTGGGAGCTCTTTCATTTGGCTTCTGTGCCCCTTTGATATCACCCCTGGCCTTTTTTATTGAGGATTTCCCTACATTCTGTCACTTGACACTACAAGATGCCACCGGCTCATTTGTATATTTTCTGTCCCAGTCCTAGAGTCAGCTCTTTCTCCCAGGAGGCCTGATTCTTTTTACTGGACAAGGGTGTTAGAAACAAAGATCTGGGTTCTAGGTATGCTCTATATTTTAGGTTTTGAGATTGTTAAAAATTAGGAGTCTGATGTACAGCACGGTGACTATAGTTAACAATACTGTATTATATATTTGAAAGTTGCTAGGAGAGTAAATCTTAAAAGCTCTCATCACAAGAAAAACAATTTAGAACTGTGCGAGGTGATGGGTGTTAACTTATTGTGGTAATCATTTCACAGTATACAGTTATACATACACCAAATCATGTTGTATACCTTAAACTAATACACTGTTATGTCAGTTATAGCTCAAGAAAGCTGAGGGAGGGGAGGGTATTTAGAAGTCTGAAAGAAAAATTCTGCTGCTGAGATTGGTCAGACCACAAAATCGGGCCCATGTTTTAGGACTGGTGAGAAAGATGACCTGGACTCAGTTAATGTTACTATCATTTCAGTTTACAAGTGAACCAGCTGACACACGGCAAAATAATATATATGGGAGCATGGGTGCAAGAAAGTGGTTATATCTTCCTGGTGTGGTGGGCTAAGTAAGATAGTGGATATGATGGCTCTCTGGAAGTCATCAAGGGCTCCAGACTCCTTATGTAGATGACCAGCTGCCACGTCCTCCCCCAACCATGTCGTCTGACAAAATCCGGACGTGGAGAGGAAGCTTCAAGGAAGGCGTCTTCTGAGGAGAGGACGTGGCATGTGGGTGCGAGTAATTGGCTTAATGGGAATATCCCTTCTCCTCCTTGGAGGGGGATTTGGGGTCGTAAAATCAATAACTAACCTGGGAATGGTAAACAATGTTCTCACTTCTGAAGAAATCCTGATTTCCCCAAGTCCAGTCACTATCACATGTGCCGGATGCTTTAACAAATTGTTATTAGAAGTAGCTAGGAAAATTCCCCTGGCGCCCCCAGTAAGGAATTTATGGAGGGACTAGAGAAAACTGAGCTCATGCAGCCACCTATATTCAAGTGCCTCCGCCTATGAATGCAAGATTAGTCAAGGACAGGAAAAAGGCCATCGCCCCTTGCCTACTGTACAAGGACCACCCTGGGTAGCATATAGAATAAATGGCAGATTGTGGCATCCCCCTAAAAAGGGCTAACAGTATGGAAAGGCTACCAGACCCTCCTCAGCCTTATACAGGTGCTTCCAATGAGAACAGTATCAGAATAGTTAGTGTAAACGGAAGGCATGTTCAGTATGAAAACCTGCCCTTCATGAAACACTTGGCAAGGCAGCGGCCATGCTGGTGCTTGCTCCCAAAAGCAAAGCATTCTTAAGCAGTTAATCAATAGCTATGGCAAAAGGCACTCTTTTCTTAGAAGAAAATGGCAAGAAGAATATAATAGCTTAAGAATAGGTCCATAGTTAAAATATAACCATAAGAAGTAGTAACCACAGGCAAATATTATATAAAATTTCTGTCTCACAAACTAATATGTTACTGCTGCAAACAAAGCCACATCTATCACTCTATAGGTCACTGATTTTTCCTTTCTCCTCTATTCTAATAAATAAAAGTCAAAATTGTTCCGTTCTGATGAAATTGAAACTTGTATTGTTTAACCTGTGAATAATATTTCTTGCTTGCTAACCGAAAAAATGTAATCGTAGCCAAAAAAGAAAGTATAAAAGCTTATGTTGATTCTCAATAAAGTGGAACAGTGTCACACCACCTCCGAGTCGTGTAGTCTGCTGTGTCCCAGCGCCGACGCCTTGCCCACCTTCGGCACCCCTGACTCCCGCTGCGGCTGGACCGTGGCAACCAGCCATCCTCAACATCTGGATTCCATCTTGTAAAAAACATGGCTGCTCCAATTCCTGCCATCACATCTACGTACCAGTCAGCAGAAGAGAGAAAGGGAACGGTAAAATGAGTTTATATTTTTCCATATAAACTCATGTCCTGGGTTTCTCATTCTGCTTACATCCCATTGGCGAGAACCTATTCATGTGGCCACAGCTGCAAAGGAGACTAGAAAATGTCTGTAGCTGGGTAGCTATGTGCCGGATTAAAAGTTCTATTGCTATGTTACAACACTAACCAAAATCAAAACAAGTTACAATTATAATCAATTGTTACAGATTTTTAAACTTACAATGCTTAAGGAATCCCTAAATTTTCATTAGCAATGCATTTATAGACCATTTGTTATGGAGTGCAAATTTCTAACCCTCCAATTAAGTGATTATTTTCAAAAT